CGTAATTTTTTGTTCTCTGCTTCCCTGAGGAGTCTGTGAAACAACATCCCTACAAACACCAAGTGCACTGAAAGCCAGGGAAATAAGTTGGAAAGAACATTTCAATATATTCTTAATTATTCTTGGTTAACAAATAAAATGTTTTAAGTTGATACTAAACGAGCATTGACACTGATATAAAATGGGAAACTGGCTCTTCATCTGATTCTAAGCTTCCCATGGGAATGCTGAAAACCTGTTTTGCTCCATTTCAAAACAGTTTCTATTTCTTCAGAGAAGATTTACTCTATATCCTGAAGAATTAGAGCATGTTTAAAAGATGTGGTGCCCACAGACCATGCGGAGCTTCAACACAATGTCACACTTGAGAAATAGGTAATTTAGCATTCACCATAAGAAAAAATGTGTGCATACACAGCATGAGACTAATTGCTGCTAATCTTATTTTCTTCCTTCAGAGCGAGCAACACACACACAGATTCCCAAAGCAGAAGAGCAGCTTGGAATATTAGAAGTTTCTTCTAACTTCAGGGACCATTGCAAAATTATTTGGAGAATTCAAGAACATTCTAAACAATATCTTCTTGACCAGACAGGCCAAGAAAACTAGAACTCACCTATCGATATTGGCTTTGAACTTCAGGAGCAATTCATAGAAAGGGCTTTTCCTAATATTGCACATTACACAAATACTAAAACCACTTTTGTTGGTCATATCCCCCCAAGCATACAAACAAGCCAGAAGAGCATTAAGCTGTGTCTTCTTTCAGGTGAAGATTATTCAAATGTATGCAAATACACACATGGCAGTAGACAAATATGAAGACTCTAATAACAAAACTTTGTAATAAACCTGAATGAGGCTACTGTCCTTACTCTGCTTGGTGATCTGGAACAGACCAGCTTCCCATTGCCTTGATTTTTATGTAGTCCTTTAAAAACGTGAAGTGCTCTGTGATTATAAAACTCCATCAGGACAAAGAGGGAATAGCAGTCTGGGAGCACGTATTCTCACTTTGCACAAAGACAGCAATCAACTTCTGATTGTGATGTACACCCTAACTCTCCATTTATTCAGACACCAATTTCAGGACAAGTTACCAAGCACAACTAGCACCTCTCCATCAGCGAGTGCTGTGAAGTACACTGTAGGCAATGTAGTTTTACCAGGCTTGGTATCAGGAAAAAAAAAATGACCAAAGCAGATCTGCTGTCATTTGGGACGCCACGGTCCTAAAAGGTACGTGGAGATAGACACTGATATATGAGGCCAAAAGAAAGCCCAACCCTTAAACATTTTAAGCTACATCTTAGTAATATTTATTATTCAATTTCTTAACACTATGCCTCTTCCCACTGTGAAAAACAAAATGAAAACTGCTACCTACTGCCCTGCTTTATCATTATTAAATTAAGATGCTAAAGCCCAATTGGGAAAGCATCTGAGTACCCCTTATAATCCACTATCACATCATCTTAGTGCAGGTATAACACAAAGCATGGCAAGTGTAGCCATATGAGATATATTTATTCAAGCTGGTACCATCTGTGTTACTCGTGAGCAGTGGAGTGAAACAGAATCAGACTGATATGCAGTCATTCAGGGTCCTGTGTTCCCTCAGTTTTCCAGGAAAGCCTCACTAAGCTCATTTTAGATTAAACCAGGAGACACCAACAAGTACCAGCCACCTGTTTTGGAAGCTGCTTTTTGATTCCATACAACACACAAAGAAAGAAGGAAAGAAGAAAAAAGGGAAAACTTCTCACTTGCTTTTGAGCACCTTGTCCAGTGTTTCAGATCATTCTTACCACAATGCAGAAGGATTTACATAATTCCTCACTGCTCCTGGATGACTCTCGAAGGATGACAAATGACCACCGCCCCCATCCTTTGAATTGAAGGTCACAGCTACCAGACGGAGAGGAAAAGCACAGATTAAAAGATTACAGCTGACAGTGCTTTCCTAAGGGGACTTCAGACTGAAGTGTGGTGACCATGGCAGCAGCTGTCCAGTGAATCTCTCTGATTACTTTTACATTAACTCTTCATACCAAAAATCAGCAAGCAAGAAGGAAAGGAAACTCCCTTCTCTCCCAGACATTCTCCTCTGCTCCAGCACAAAGACAAACCTTCCTCAGCACAGAGCTCTGTGGTTAAAGAGATCAGACCCTTCAGCAGCGTGGCACTGAGCTTTGCCACACTTGCACAAGCACTCATTAGAAAAAGCCCTAACCCCATGGCTGGCTCCAGAGGAAGGTACTTCAGGATGTGGAAACGGAGGCAGATACCTCCAGATACCATTGCATAGTGCTTCTGTGTTGTGTACAGGACTTAAGGGGTTTCCTGGACCAAAGAGAGCATGTGTTGATCTCCTATCCCACGACTGGGGCTTTCCACTGGAAAAAAGTAAGGACTCCAGCTGCCACACAAGAATGATTTATGTGTTACAGCTTAAAATGCTTATGTGTTGAGAGTGCCTGCCATGACAGGCCAAATGGTTTCCGCTTTTAAAGAAACAAAAGGTTCAAACCATCGAGACTCAGGAAACCAGTTCTGGGATGCAGGTATCAGCTGAAGCAGGAAAAGAAACAGCAAGGAGAGAAGCACTCAGTGCTCCAGAGAGCAGCAGCTGGAAGGCAGGCCTGGCTCAACCTCGCTGCACGTGGCTGTGACATGTCCATTTGGGCACAGAGCTCCCATCCCCTCCTGTTGGAGCAGGCAGGCTGTTAACACCACGGACTGAATAAAGCTGTATTTATCAACTACGGCAAAAGCCAAGGTGCTTGTAGCTCCACAAGAGCTTATCTCTGCGTAAATAATGCCAGAATACTTTAGACAAGAAAATTATTGTCATTAATACTGTAATAGGGCATAAACTAAAGACCTAAGTCAATTCATACAGCCTGCCCTGCTCACTGATCAATCATTTCATTCACCACGGTCCCATTTAAAATGTAATTAAACTCCAGAAAAATGAGATGTTCTTTTGTGCGATACCTCTCTTGCAGCATCACACATGACACACAGACAGCTGCATTAATTCAGTCAGATAAAGACTACTACAACCACACGTCTGCCTGCACCATACCTTCCCAGGTGTTTTATTTTCAAGAGCTTAGAATCAATCCCACTTCAAAATAAGACTGGACTTGTTGCAAACACTGGAGAACTCACTTCTCCCTGCTGCAGCTTTCCAAGGTCTGTCAGGACCTGAGGACAGACTCAGGCTTAGTGCTGTGATCCAAACTGCATCCTTATGTTGCTGTCTGCCATTTGAACTGTGTAACTGGGTCTAAACTTAATGTAGTATTTTCCATCCTTTGTCAACTGAATGAGAGGCTTTAAGCTAAATATCTTAGACCTTAGAAAGATCTTCCCATGTTTGGAAGCAATCTAATGAAGTTCAGATTCCATACCAATACATTACAACACATTTTTGGCAAATAGCAAGAAAAATTTTTAAAGCAACAGAATTACAAGCTTCCCCCCGACCTCCCAATTAATTATCATATCACAATTTACATATACACCATTACAGAATACCTCCATCAGGCATTTTTAACAAAACATCCAATGTAGTTTATGCAGCTTATTGCTGGGGGGAGGTTAGGAAATATTTTTGGAACTACTGACATGACACAGTATTATCTAATTTTCCTGACTAGATGCTTCCCACCCTGTGACTGAGCACAGTTCCACGTATGACAGGAAAATGTTACACCTCTGAGACTGATAGTCACACATTGTGACAAACTACTATATAAAACCAATGCTCAGCGATAGCCTCATCACCAGCACTAACAGCAAACTATTCAGAACTCACACCGAATAAAACCCAGAGCCAGGCAGCTCTCCCACTTCTCCATCTCATCTCAGAGCCAGAGCTCACTCTCCATCCCATCCAGCCTCCCCCAGGCCTTTCCTCCAACCACCCTTCTCCCAGCAAAGCTGCTCACTCTCACAAGAGCCACAAACTCTTACCCCTCTGAAGCCTCCATTGCTCTTTACACCTCCAGCTCCTCACAACTCTGCCTACGGACACAGCCTCTGCTTCCTAGTCTAGCTGGCTCCTGGGGCACAGCTGCAGCCATCCCATGAGCACTGGTTTGGCCATCCCCAGCTGGCTCTACTCATCTCATCAGCCCCACAGCCACCCCCAGCTGGCACTACTTACCTTCCCAGCCCCACGGCCACCCCCAGCTGGCTCTACTCACCTCCTCAGCCCCACCAGGCTCAGCTCCTCGCTGCGGGGTTTGATGCTGCCTTGCACAAATTCTGAGGTTTATGCAAAGATGAGTGTTGAAATGAAAAACACAGAGAACATCAGCCAAGTCACAACGATCACATGCAAAGCTGAGATACAGAAAACAAAAAACCCTCTGCGTTCTCAACCATTTAGCAGTGCTCTCCACAGAATGCTGTCAGAGATGTACGTGCTGCCACGTGCCCATATTTAAGCAGCATTCCCGACCCACATACAGACGTGACAGGAGCAGTATGTTTATGCAAACAGCCACTGATGTGAATCAGGCAGGACCCCCTGTGACAGCCGCTTCCATCTGAGGGGAACAGGTGTGAGGGCACAGCCTGGCCAGGCCAATCCCCTCAGGGCCGTGCAACCCACAGTCTCCCATTTGTAACCTGAAGATGCTGTGAAACATGGGGAATTCTGAAAAAGACCTCTGGCTCTGAGTTTATTTGGTTTTCCATAACCCAGGGAATGCACTGGTGCAGTGAGGGGAAGCCAGCAGGTGAACTGGGCAGCCCCTCACTGAACACACGTCGTTGTTTTGTTTGGGAGATTCCCTCCTGACACCAGAACAGCTTTTCCCATTGCTGCTCCCTCAGAACATGTTACTGCAGTGCTTTGCAAGCATTGAAGAATATTTTTTTCTTTTCTGCTACTATATTTTAGATATATATACCAAAAGCAGCTAAGTGAATAATATAATGAAAATTTGTTCGCAATTCCTGCAGGACAATGAATGATATAAACAAGTTAAGCTCAAATTACAACAAGTATAATTGTCACAATTACAAAAAAACATCACAAAAAAAGTGAAGTATAAATATGACAACAAGTATAGAGCCCGTTCCATTCAATCACACAATGTCAAGGAGAGCATGTAAAACATTTAACTAGACCACATAATTTATGAAAACCAAGGTTTAAACATTGGAACTGCTCCACTGAAGAAGCAGCTTGTTCTTCTCAGTCTGCTAAAATACAACATACTACATGGAAGCCTAACAGATGCTTCAACCAGTCCCTGTGATATTGGTTCACAGTGCAAAAGAATTTTAAGTCCAGCAACCTGCGTCCGGTTACCTCAACAGAAAAAGGGATTCAGGCCAGGATTTCAGAAGGCATGAAGAGTTCTGGAACTCTGAAAGCTCTGCGAATAATACACGCAGCTCAGAGTAATTTCAAGGACATATCATCAAGTGCTTCACAGAAATGAATACAAGACCAGATTTCCAAAACACTGAAACACACAACAAATGACCTAAATTAAAAAAAAAAAAAAAAACTTTAGCCTACTTAAAAGATCATTTAGCATTGTAGAAGTGTGTTGAAAACAAGAAAACAAACAAAAAAATGGTAGGAACACTGTTCCACAGTTAATGTTGCTGCATAATCCAAACCCAGCACTCTGTGCTCAGCCGTGCTGATGCTGAAACAGGACAGGAGTGGCTGCCAACAAACCAGGTCATGCTGCAATGTGTTGACTTCACTGAAAAATGTCTCAAAGCTCAAATGATCAAAGAGAATTAATTTGGAAGGAAAAGAAAACAAACAAAAAACAACAGACGTACAACAGCTCAATGTCCTATGACGACTCCTTGTTTGTTTAATGCATTTTCTAATGCTTAATCTGGGGTATGGGTTGGTGGAGAGAACTACTGAGATAACCCCAGTTTGACAAAGTGATAACACAATCACTAAAAAACATCACACCTCCAAGCCTGGGAACAGGAAAGGGTGGGTTCAGTCTTACGTGGGGTGCAAAGAGCCACTCAAATTTGCTAAGGGGGAGAAAAAACATGGTAGCAGCAATAGAGCTGGTCCTCAACTCGTGTTAAACTGCCACAGCACTCAATTTAAAATAGAGTTCATAAAAATATCAGGCTGGCTGATGATCCATCTGAAACTTCTATCATCCAGCTGCCTGCAGGGAGGTACAGTTTATCAGAACAACCAAAACTATTGGGAAAAAAGGAAAAAAAAAGATGGCCAAAGATTCTGGAGCTGCACAGATCTCACACTCCCTTTTTTCACCAAAATGACCTCATCTTCAGTGGAGATGGGGGAAACAAACAAACAAATACCAATCAAACAAAAATACCCAAATTCCTCTACCTACTTTCTCCTTCCCTTCTTTCAACCTTCTCAATCCCAGTTCACACCTCCCTGCACACCAATTCCCTGCACACCTTCTCCTTTACCTATTTCCTTCCCACTGCTTTTGCCCCTTCTCTACTTCCTTCAATTTACATTACTGTTCTTCCCTCAGATCCTACCTTCTGCCTCTCTTCTGCAATGCTTCTTGCACATTTCCATCCTTTCACACAAGTACTTTCTTGTCAACTGCCTTTCAGCCTCTACCTAAGCAAGTATACAAAAATATAAATACAAGTAGCATAATTTTCCTTCTTCCTAAGAAACTGAAAGACAGGCAAAATTAACCCAATACCAGTTTTCAACACTGGTTTCCACCTTCAGCTCTAAAACCTGAACCCGGATGTGACCACCATAAAACCAAACAAAATTGGCTTCCCTATCAATCTACAGCTTTTTCTAGAAAGCTTGTTTTGCAATTTTTAGTTTACATATTAAAGGCAAAGTAAATATGGATTTTTAATAACTAGTATATTCCAACAAAAAAACAGCCTCATCAGTGCACATTTTTTGGTACCAACTGAATAATACTAGCATATTTGATATAAACTAACGTAGATAAAATGATGCAACTTACTAGCAGAAAGGAGCTAAATTAAAGTGCTTCTTCGCTCAATTTTCAATGCAAACTCTTTGAATAAAACCCAAACATATACAGTTTGGGTTATGTGTAAACGACACCTATGTAACTAGGTGTTAATGAATCTCCAATTTGCTAACAAATTAAAATAATTAAAAAGTCTAATAAAGACTATTTTGGCCGTTCCTTAGGGCTTTTCTAAGTGCCCTGTTTTGGTGAAGCATCCCACCATCACTCTGTAAAAATGTTTTACTTGGTGTACAACAACCTCCAAGCCAGTACAGATTTTTTTTTTTTTTTTTGGCTGTGCTCATTATCCGTGGCAGCTGTGTTAGTCCTCTTTCAATCAGCCAGATGATGGCTTCAGAACAATTCTTATTGGAATAGAGAATTGCTGACTGCCAGGTTTGTGAAGGCAAAGTTATGGAGTGCAGTGGCACAATGGTTCTCTCTTCAACGACAGCAATAGCAGAGCGAGTACTGCCCACAGCAATCAATAGCTGCCATACCTGCTATCAAATATTTATGCTATTAACAAATACAAAAATCATAAGAAAATTCTTTAAGACTCGATAACAATTTCCCTGACTGAAATAATACACACAAATTTAATCACTGTGCAGAATGTGAACGATTCTGCAGTAAAAGTACATCAAGTAGAAAGCCCGCATCCTGAGTAAAGTTGATATCAGAAAGACTGAAATATCAACAGAAAGCTCAAAATATAAAAGCACTCCAGTAGAGCCTGTGCTGTGGCACTTCCCTGGAAATCTGGATCATCAATTTTCTAAAATGCTCAGAAGACAATGAATAACATTATCCAGCTGTCGGTGTCATTTCAGAAGTAAGAAGCATCATTCCAAGGATCCAGACGGTGAGGCAAGGGCTGCTGTCAGAGCTGCTTTTTTCAGAATGGATGAAAGTTTACTCTGTTTCTTGCCTGTAGAATTCTCATTGCACTAGGATATACTGCTTTTCCTCTGATGAGCAGCTTCTCTCTGCAGAAGATCCTCGCTGTCACTTTCACTTTCACAGTTTCTCTGAAATAAAAAGGCCATGGTATTCCAGTCACATAAATGAGATACCATGCTGCTAAATAGTCTGATATAATCAGTGTATCATTTATAGAGAAAAGCAGAGGTACTAGAAACACCAGTTTCATTGCAGGTTATGCTCACTGAAGGGTCCCCCATCACACAGCTGGTCATGAGGGCTGTGCAGACTTTCTCCACACTTGCTCATTTCTCAGTTGGACAGGTCAGTCACTGCTGTCATATCCAAACAATGTGCAGCCTCCATGCTGCTCTTATGTAAAATAAATGTGGCTAGCACCTGTAAGGTTTGCAGTCACTGTTTCTCCTTTCTCAGCATTTCTGGCATAACACAACTTACAGTAGCATTAACAGCATACAAAGGATGCCCAGTTTCTCACCCCAAACCATTAATGTCTTGCAAATTTCAATCCACAGTAAAATTTCATTTTTTTCCCTTTCAAGAATGTACCTACCAAACATTCATCCTGAATTAGAACCTTTTTCACCAGAGAACGAGATAAGTGGTTGCATAAGGAGACAATGCTGTAAGAAAGCTGTAAGTAAACAGAAGAAAGAATGAGAATATGAAAACACCAATACAGACACATCAAAATACATTTCATTCATCTAAGACATCTTACAATTTTACATGTGTAAGCTCTGCCTTGCCTGCAGATCCCCATCAGCCCTACACAAGCAGGGTGAGAAGCTGCTTGCCATACCTTCCACCGCCTTCTGGCATACTGCCTTTTGAAGCTTTCCATGTTAACAACAGATTCTCGCCGTACCAAAGCTTGCTGCTTGTCCAATGGCTGGAAGATAAGAGATGGCAATTTTATTGCATGGCTCCCTTTGATGCATGAAATGCATAAGATTCTCCTTATTCCTTGAAGCTGGCTGAAAATAATGTTGGGAAAGCTGTGGATTCGTACAGGTATAAGCAGAAGAAAATATTAAATCAGATCCCACCCTGCCCATCCCTGTCCAGTCAAGGGATCCATACCCTTGATTTCAAACAAAACCCTAAAACTCCTTCACAGTCAGCAGTCTGCAGCTGCCCTGAGTGCTGTGCTCACTTCTAGCCCCTCAGCCTGGCACAAAGGGTGCAGTGCAGGGCACAGGCTTTGCTTCAGCTTCCACTTAGGCCTGCTGCTTCATTATGATCCCCAGAAAAACACAAGCAAACAGCCTGGAACAGCCTTAGCAGCCCAAGGACAGAATGCATGACAGCCAAGCAGAAGAGGGAGATAATTACAGTGACTAGAGGATGCTAAGGCAATGCTTTCGCTTTGCAAAGCCACTCACTGCAACACCTTGATTTCCTCTGACTGGAGCTCACTTCAGCTGGCCTTTATTCACGTCATTCAGGAAGGCACTGGGAGAGTTAACAAAAAGCTCTACACGTGCCTATTGGAGAGGAGGTGGAGCTACTATGAGCACAGGAACAGCACTGCTGCCCAGAGCTTTCTCAGGGGTGATGGCAGAGTAGGACTAAACCCAGCACCATCACACTATTGGGTCTCATGCTACTTTCAGAATTTTCACTTCTTTTTTTCACATTTGACCCCTTACAAGGACGCTGTCCAAAGATATATTAGAGCCTTCTCCTAACGTCCAGTGTTGGGTATTTCAGTTTATCTAGAGACTGTTTCTCAGATGATGCTTGCCCTGAACCACGTCTCACTCTGGTGTCAAAAGGTGGGGACTCACAGCCACTCTGGGCAACATATTCCAGTGTCTGACTTCTCTTACAGTAAACAAGTTTGTTTGATTTTTCAGTATTTACACGGAATTTCCTTATTTCAGTTTGTGCCCTTTGTCCTGTCACTGGATAACACCAGAGAAAGCCTGGCTCAGTCTCTTTTCTCCCACGAGGTAGTTGCACAGATTGATAAGCACTCCCCAGGCCTCCTCTTGATACCAAACAATCCCAGCTCTCTATTTGTCAGCTCCAATCCCTTCCATCAATCTCATTCCAAGATGTTTTGCTGAAAATATAAAAACTAAAAAGTTTAGCTGTCATTTAATATTAGTTACCAAGACATACACTCCAGCATATCTGAAGACAGCTTAGTCTTTGTGCTTTAACCATCCTCAGAATATGAGAGCACAAGTCCCTGGCACCTCATCAGTAAATGCATGAGGAAAAAACTGCAATATCTGGTTACATGGCAAGGGGGAGGAGAGGAGGAGGAAAGCAATTAAAAATGTATACACACAAGAATTCAGACATGTGTCCAGTATTTTGGGATGTCACCCTGGTGTTAACAAACAGATATTCTGCAGATGCTAAAAATGAAGTACCTTTGAAATCCAAAACCACATCAACATATGCATAGGCCAGACAATTGTATTTGGGAATGACAAAAACAAAGTTCAATACTAGATCTGGTAAAAGAAAAGAGGATGGGAGACAGCTCTTCAACTGTTATGGAGTTTAGAGAGTCACCACCATTTTAGCAGATTTGATTTGCTTATGTAGGGAGCAGCAATCCAGAAATACTTACACTGAACTGGATTAGAATGCAATCAAGGCAGACAGCTGAAAGAGAAGGAGTACCAAAGGAGAGTGGAAAAAGGACCACTGAAAATTTTCCAGCAAAGCAGCGTTTATGAGACAACAAACTCACTTTTCTGCTCAGACGCTAAGGGTATAACATTTGTGCAAGTCAGAGCCAAGTAATCAGCTAGGCTCCTTTCCCATTTAGATGTACACAGCACTCCTGGGTGTCCCCCCACCACAGGGACACATAAGCACTGAGTGCATTTCCCCATGCTGCAAATAGCTAGCATGGTACAACAAAACCTTGTAGAATCAGTCTGAAGTGGAAAAAATGTCACAGTCTAAATGTCAGCTATATAACGGTTTTCTGAGTGCCCTTTTGGTAGCAGAGCCACCACCAAATCGAAATAGCTTGCTTCACACTGCTCCCAGCTGTTAATAACTATCTCTCAATTGCTGAGCAGCCTGCAAACAATGACCCTGTCATCTTCTCAATCATCAGAACACCTTCTCAAAAACAGTGTGTTATTTACCTCCTTCAGCCCAGAGAGCACTGACCTCAAGGACTGAGTCACAAAAATATTGACCTCACCCAAACGCTCAGGAACAGAGTGGCCTCATTTCATGTTCCTTCTCATCATGTCAGAGCATTAGTTCCTCAAGAAAATCTACACAAATCAGAGGATGTGAGATGACAGCTGAGGGAAGGCAGACAGACTCTTCACTGAGGGTCTTTTATGCAGATACTCTCAGTAGTCTTTAAGTTACTTCTGAAGAGTTGAAACTCTTTAACAACAACAAAAGAAAGTCTGATGTTCCAGTTTGTCTGGACAGCATCTTCTGCGTCTTGTAGCTCCAAGGAGCCTGCAGAAATGATGACTGAAGCCTTCGGGGCCAATCAAAAGCTGAGACAGTTAATGTTTCCAATACTGCTTGGCACTCTGGAGTCCAAAAGTCCCTGGCCAACAGCATCAGCATGTGAGGGACATCTCCTGGCTATCTAAAATTTTACCTCTTGTGCAAAGCAAGATGCCACAGAGCATGCTCCATCCTCCAAGTACCATAACAGTGTCAGCATCACCCCTGTTGAGCAACTGTTTCCAGGACCCTTCATTTCCACCAGCCTCTGTATGTCTTCACAATGACAGTGACAGATTCAATGTACCCTACACAAACTGGATCAAAGTATGCTTTTATCATTTTTATCTCAAAGTAGGTAACAATGTTATGAACAACAGCGGTTCAAATTCAGTAAGATCATTAAATTCTCCCCTTCTAATACATTTTGAGATGGACCTGAGCACGGATACAGGGAAGCCTGGCTACTATCTCTGTAATTCCTGTATCTGTGTAACAGTTATCTTGAAACAAATTCAAATAGCTAAGCAAAGAGGACATAAAGTAGCTGCCCAACAGCTCTTCCCAGTACAAAAAAACCCCACAGTTCCTTTTTTTGTCACTGACTACATAATCAAGGAAGAATTGCCATCTGCATAAAGAACAATTTACTGGGTCTAAAAAATGATTCAAAGTACATCTGTGAATATACAGTATAATCAATTGAAATCTTTGAAACACAAGTCAGGATTCAAGTTTGGGCCAACTTTTTTCTTACTTTCTAAAACTTAAAAAAAAAAAAAAAAAAAGCAACTTCACAGCAAGAACGTTAGTCGTCAATCCCACATGGCATATTAAATTAGTTGTGGTTCTGTCTCATTATCCTTAGCGTAGAAAGCAAATCAGACATGTATGTTACTGCTTATCATCACTCACATTTTAATATTGGCACTGCAAAATGATATACACGGTAATTTGATCAGTTCATTACAAACTCATAATTCTGTCTTTGGAGTAAGTTTCTTTGGCATGGGACATGAAACTTCACTGAATTTTGAACTGAAGAATTAATCATTAGCTAACACCTGATGGCAGAAGATCCCAATCTGAATTACAGGCCTAAAAACTTCATCTTGAAAAGCCTGATTTTAACTGTTCTTCAGCAGCAGCCATTCTCACAGAGAATTTCCACATACTAAACTGCTACTTCATTTACTTCATGTTACAGCACAAATTTAACCTTTGCAAATACTTCTCCCATCTGCTCTGTAGGACTGCCCACAGCAGCTCTACGTGACTATTTCTTTCATCCAAATGGAGATGCTATCATTCATTCTTTATTGGTTTCTAGGCACCCAGCCCAGTAAATACAGACTGAACTCTCTTCTCTGCATTCATTACTTAGAGAACTTCAGGAATTGTAATATATGATGAAGTATGACATAGGAAATGCAAAAGGATGCAGGGTTAGCTGTGGTCCATACTACAGTGATAACCCAGTTCCTGTAAGTTCAGACACCAAGCATGGGAAAGAACTTAAACACTACAAACTTTAGCACTGGGAATTTATGGTTTTGGTCAGCAACTTGTGCAACGCATCAGAATTTCTGTTTCAGTTCTAGGTAATGTTTTTGTGTGTAGAGATTATGCACTGAAACATTATTTTTTTTTTACTGTTGTACACTGAGAGAGGCAGCAAAGCCTGCATGAAACCTGATGTAGAACATTACTGATTTGATTCTGCTACACTAAGATTCAGCCCTGCAAGGAATTCTTCACAGCATGATCTGTTTAATAGGTCCGTTAGGGATTCGTTGATGTCTTTGTTGAAAACAGAGTCAAAGTTTCCATTCACACAGGCTTCATTTCCATTTTCCAGCTGAAAATTACTCATCAAATCCTGTATCCACTTAAGATCCTCAGAAAGCTCTTGACTGAGAGATTCATACTGACTCTGCAGAGCAGCATATTTCCCAGTTATGACTGTAAGACTGGCACCTACAGTCTTGATATCATCTTGTAGATGTCTTTTCAGGGATTCAGTTTTGCGGAATTCATACTTAAGCTGAGACAGCTTATGCCTCACACTTTCATTTTCTTCTTTATACCAAGCTTCTTTCTCATTATAAATGGAAACTAGAGCATCAATGTCCTCCTGCAGAGAATCATGGGATGCAGCCAAAGTGGTGACCTCTCGTTCCATAAATGAAATGTCTTCTACTACTTGGGCAAAGCGCTCAAAGTTGATGTAGGTGTTATTAGGAGGCATACTTGAATGGCATTTTATGGTGTACTCTCTCAGTCGTTTTGTCTTGAGCTGTGTGTTCTCAGCCTTCTTGTTTTCTTCGACTTTTGTTTCTTCCTTCAGCTGGTGAGTCTTCAGATAGAGGAACCAATATTACTGGACATTTACAAGACAGTGCAGTAATTCAAACTCTACACAAAGGATGCAGCCTGAATTTCCAATCTGTGGGAGATTCTTTTCTCCCACAGATTTTCCTTCACACATTCAATTAAAAAAAAAACAAACCAACAAAACAACAGGAAAAAATGAATGTAGTAAGCAATGTGCATTCATTCCAACATGGTAAGTTGAAGTACCAGGGCCTCAGTTTCTTTTGTTGTTAATGTTTTAATCAGTCATTCTCAAAAATATCAATATTTGTAAGAGGAAAAACAACAGTCCTGAAAAGAGTCCACTCAGTGCTTTTTGCAGTGCGGAGCAAAAACTGGATCACTGTGCATGCTGAGATTATCCAAAGGTATTTTCTATATGAGATTTACACATCCACAAACACAAGCAACATTTATGATGAAAAAATCCATTCAGACACAAAAGTCAGCAAATCAACACATGTGGTACACACAGTTACATTACATTCTGAGGTAAATTATATTTCCACACTGGCTGTGATCAACTCCCAACTCAAGAAAGCACTAAATCTGGGATATAGTGCTTACCATGCAAACAGAGAAGGATGAAAAAATGCAAAGCACAGTCTAATGTAGGACACTGTACATGCAACAAACATCAAAGCTTTGTTCTCCTCTTTTTGAAAACTACAATAATAAAAAGTCATGAGTAAGGTTTGCAGAAATCCCAAGATTCAGTCAGACCCAACCAATTTCCTCCCAGTACATCTCCTCTTTCAGATGTCAATGGTCTCTAGCTACACAGAGGTCAGATTTCCAATTAACACATCAATAAGAGTGAGAACATTATCTCTGCTCAGCTCACAGCAAAAAGCAAGATCTCCTTTTTTATCTGGTCTTACCGTTATCCACGGATGAGACAGAGCTTCCTGAATTGTAAGACGTTTCCTAAAAAAAATAAACAAAAAAAGAAATACAAAAAGTACAGATTTGAGCGAGAAATACCTTGCACACAAGTCCATTAGCCTTCTCTTTGCCTATGTATAAACAGTAAAGCATTTATCAAAATAACTTCAGGCCTAATACTGAAATCTCAGCATTATGTTTTTCCCAAGGCATGCTGTTTGTGTGTTTACCAGTAAATGTTCAGTAAGAAGCCATCCCCATTCCAGACAATTTTAATTCCTTCTTGACTGAAATCTTTATTTTTGTGTACTCTCTTATAAAAAGTGATATTATTCATCCTACAGGCTTAGAGAATAAATTATTTCTATATACCTTTAATATGACTGTCTCTGAATCATGGTATACAATGTTAATTATATCAAAAGTGTCTTCTAGAGTGCAACAGGACATCATTCCTGCCATTTCCTGAAAATAGAATTTGAGAGGAATACTTCAAATCTTATCCAACATGATCGATCCTAACTTCTTCCTGCAGTGTAGCAGCCCAGTGAACAGCACCCTATCACCATTCAGAATCAAAGGCAGAAGCACCACATTGCTCAATAACATGTGACAAATATCAATGTGCCTGACTTGTCTTTTTTATAAGGAGGTTGCTAGACCTGTGCTAGCCTCTCATCAAACCCCACCTACTCTAACCTATTCTAAGACTGCTGCAATTCCTCGGGCTTGACCCAACAGCTTGCCTCTTTCTAATATCATTCTTTTATCCTAATGAAGCCACTAGAAAGAACTGCAACAGCCTGACTTCCCTCTGGGATGATCAGGGTTAAGGGGAAGGAGATGCTACTTCTGTGTGCCCTTTATTAAAAGAAAGAAACACATTTAAAAGACGTGGTTCCCAAGGACTGAGAATAAAGCTCTGAATAGCTGTCATGCAAATCCTGGGTGATTGTAGTGGATGCATAGAGACAAAAAGAACTATGCCAGTAGGAGCAGATGTAAAAACAAAGTGTTCTTGGACCACAGGGAACATATTACAGGATTGTGTCATGTCCTTGCAGGCAGTTCACAGTAGATTGAAATACTGGAGTGGTAGTTACCTAGAACTAAAGATTTTGCATACCATTTTCAGCCCTTTACCTACACATTGTTGTACCATTTTGACTTTGGAGAAAATGCAGTCATGAAATTGAAATTTAACAAAGGAGATTTCGGTTCCTTTTGTTAGAGTTTGCGGATGCTGTGATTCACTGTGGGCACAGCAGCAGAACTCTGCCTACCATCTTGCCACTGAATGGCAACACACACTGCAGGGAAGGCTTTGCAGATTGCTCAGGAGGCTGTTTCACAGATTTATCTAAGACACCAATGAACAATTCTGAGTTTTCACTTACCGTGTATCTTTCACCAGGAGTTTCCGAATAAAATCTTTTGCCAGGTCACTGGTATTGCTGAAAAACTCTTCGTCGAATTCATAATTCACAGCTGTGATGTTAGCGAGCGTTTCTTGTTTAGTTTCTCCAAGGAAAGGTGATGCACCACTAAGCCTAGATAAACCATAAAAAAGAATCAGTAGGAAATAGGTCCCCTAATTCAATTACAGTGGCTGTGTACTATACCCTGAGGACATCTGTGGATCTCTGTATTGTAGCAGCCATGCCACTTGGGAAATAACAGGTCCAGCATCTGTGATTCTGAATCAGACTCATTCTGAAAGTCTCTAGGGCAGCACTGAGTGCTCAGATAGACATGCACAGATTCTCCCATTCTGAATATCTCACTGAAGTCACAGTTTGTCAAAACAGGAAAAGCTTCAGCTGAGGAGAGCATCTGTCACTATGACTCCACAAACACTACCAGCCAGAAGCTTCTGTCAGGTCAAGCAGACAAATTTGTATTTCCATTCATTTTCATCAGGTAGGAAAAATCCTGCCTGCAATTTTCTGTCTGCAAAGCTACTGACAAGTTCCCTGTGCAGTAAGTTCAGCCAGGAGATGTTTCTCAGATGGAATCACAATACAGTGTGTGACCAGAAATCAGGTGTGGCCTCGCTAGAGGTCAACCCTGTATGGAGGAATGGGCACACAGCTCATTAAAAGGAATTCACTATGGAACTTCAGTTGAGATAGAATCCAACCGTTTCTGATCAATGCAAGATTGCATTCTCTTGGCACTTTTCTCCAACTGTATGGATATAATAGAGGTATCATAATAAAATGGCATTCAGTAGCATTTATTTAGACAGAAAAAGCTTTCATTTTGATTTGTCTACTCTGCCTCTCTCAGCTGTGACTTGACAACTTTCATCTTTCATGACTATTAACCTTTTCTCCACAAAATTTAAATGTCAGAGCAGGTTTATTGCAGACTCCTCCTACCCTGCCCTCCACTCCTCTCAACATGAAGGCATGCAAATCTGGTTTATAGGAATTTTTATTTATATTGAGCAAATTTATTTCATTCCTGTTTAAAGTTGTCTGGACTATTAAACTCATCTCCTGTGCCTTGTTTTGATAGCAAAGCTTCAGGATGCAGCAGGCTCAAAATAGGACCATGGCAAACTCCTGTGATCTAAAGTGAGGGTTTGAATAAAAAACTGCTATACAGATCTTTTACTTTGTCTTTACTTTCACTATCAAGTTGACCAGGGATTCAGAGGTAAGCAGAAGAAGACATAGGATCATGTGTGTCATTCAACCCAGTCCCCAGCTACCACAGCTTCACTCACAGAATAAGCATTTGAGCACAGAAAAGTTTCCTCTCCTGCTTTAATCATATAATGACACTGACGTTGCTGGCACAGTAAGGCAACACAAATGAAGCTCTCCAGCTGTTTTTGATGCCGTAAAGTCTGCCCCATAGGTACAGTCAATCTCATTTCTTAACAGGTTCTCCACCCTCCCTCTTAAGCTATTGCTCCGTTTCAGTTAGTCAAAAAGAAGGTGACAAGAACACAGCTTTCATAAACCACAGGAAACTTGTGAAAGAAGCAGTTCCACAAATTGTCAAGCTCCATCTTAAAACTGTCTCGACTACTTGCTTCCAATATGTCAATAGAATCTCATTTATTAGAGTTTACATGCGTTTCTCATAAGCATTTTTTCTTGTGCTTACTGACTGTGGTGATATTCCCAGCCAGCCTTTGCCCCTCTACCTTTAAGAAGCCCTTTTTAATGCTGCAGATGAGCAGCATTCCTACTTCCTGGATCAACCACCTCTGCTCCTATTTCAGCTTAAATTCTTCATTTTGAATATGGGTGACCATATTTATATAAACTAAACTGCTGCCTTTACAAGCAGTTTCAAACTTCTCTGTTTTCACCAGAAATAACTCTGCTTGTAAATGCTGCTATTATACTTTATGTTTCTATTCTCTCCACACACTGGTACTTCAACTACTCTATGTCCAACCAACATGCTCGGGCTTTTCTATCCTCTATCAGATCGTACTGATGAGACCTTATAGGAACCTGAAATGCCCAACAACTTCAGAGCCAGTTGTTCTTCATCTGGTCATAATGTCCCTCTTAATTTTTTTTATGCTCTATTTTAAAATTTGAAAAAGCTGAGGAATAAGTTTTTCCATTAGAGGATGTGTGTGCAGCTCCTTTCTTGATTGACTGAAGGAAAAGCTGTTCTGTAGCATTAGTGCATTAGAGCTTTAGGAACACTTCTACATTAATGAATGAATTGTCTGTACTCACAGTATGTAGGTGATGACTCCTATGCTCCTGAAAAACAAAGGAGATTAATTGCAAAGCTTCTGCACTATCTGTATTCTTTTCAACATATACAATACAGAAATGGCTACAGTACTGCAATACAAGCAGGAAAGCTCTCATTATTTTAGATAACAGCCATTATCTAAAAGATACTTTCATTGAAAATGTGAATTTTACACCAATACTCATGTTTTGTGGATATCTGAAATCACTTATTTCTGGGAGATATTTACCACAGTACCTACCAGAAATACACAGAAACAGTAGGAAGGGTATTTTGTTTGGGGTGACTTCTTTTGGCTGCATTCTCAGCAGATCAGATTAGTACGCAGGTCTCCTCTGCATGCAGTGCTCTTATAAATAAAGCTGTCACAGGCACTGCAGGAACATGTTTTCTTTTGAGAGTGCTCCACAGCAGTGGACAGTGGCAAACTGTTAACTCTATAATGGCCATTATTCAAGTTTTTCACTGTAATTTTGAAGAAGTTAACCAGTTATCTTTTCAGTAAAAGTAATTCATAAAAAAAATGGAATGACAGAACAAATAATATGTAATCATTACACTTAATTTTGTTTTGCTTAATTTGTTGCAGTAGAATAAGATTCCCTTCAGAGAAGAGTAGGAAAAATTGTCAGGAGAGCAACCTGGAAAAGAAGTTAGAAGCTTACCACATATCTGCAGCCAGCCCCAGTGGTTCATAGTTCACTATTTCTGGAGCTGTAGAAGATATTAGAAAGAAAAAAAAAAAGTAGGTGGGAACAGAAAAAGACCAAAAAATGGATGAGTGCTGTCTGTGTGAAATCCTATTATAAGAAAAAATTTCTTATTTCAAAGCATCACCATGTAAGACAGCATGCAAGGGAAAAGACCAAGGTAAGATACTGAGACAAAAAAAGGTGTCTCTAACAGCACTGAAATCATCTCAGGTCATATTACAGACATGCTTATATGGAATATGAATTATAATTCTCTATTTTCCCCATCACAACCCCCAAAACTCAAAATGAAACAAATAGAAAGTAGAGATACAAATTAGAATGATGATCAATAAGCAATAACAATAAAATCAAGTGGAAAAATGGAAGGGAGAAACAATGGGAGGCACTTTGTCTAGAAAGAAATAAAAGAGGAACCTGTGTAATTGTGCAGCAACGCACATAGCTTACCTGTCCCAGGCAACAGTAGAAAATTATAGAAAATTATAATTTGTACTGCAGTGTTTCACAACCTCAGCCTTGAATTTGTCTCTAAACATTTATTTGGCAACAACTGACTCCCACAGGAGTAGCCCATCAAGCATACAGAAAGCCTAACAGAGAAAAATAAAGCAAATCTCTAGATTTAGGTCACCCTGATACAAACTGGTCACTCACCTACAAATTCTGGAGTTCCAAAAATGTTTTTAAATTCAACTCCATCTTCTATTTTGTGAGCCAGGCCAAAATCAATGAGTTTGATGTGTGGAATAGGAATATTCTTGTCGAGAAGCATAATGTTTTCAGGCTAAATAATAAAAGATAGATATTTGTTATTATATTATCTTAGAAAATAACAGATCTACACCTCCAGTTCTCAATTTTTTTTTTCCTTCCCATATACAACACTACTGAACAAGAAACACATGCCCTTGCTTAATCATACACTCTTTTGGAAAAGGGATGACATCTCAAAAAATTTGACATCAATGAACAGACCAGAATTTTGCAATAGGAAAACAAAACTGATAATATAATAAAAATAAAAATAATAAAATAATTCATTCTTCCTCTTGCAGTCTTTATTCTCACCTCAAGCAAAATCTTTCTATCTTCCCATTAAGCTCATCTTAATGATGACTGTTGCCAGGATAGAAGCAACATATCCTTGTTTCCGCACTGCTGTATTTAGTTCCCTAATCTGATAAGATATATAACTATATTATTATCCCAGCAGCACTGTGATATAACATCAAGTGGCACTGCGGTGCATCTTGTCCTCTGTTAAATCAGAAAATATGTCCTTGTCCTGAAAGGCCTCCTAGGAAGATGCCAGGCCCTGATGCCATGGATTTGCCACTGTTCTAACATCAGTGCCTACTTAACAGCTAGAGGGCAGCTGAAGCAGTGCAACTACCTAGTACAAAGACAGCATGCACTTGCTCAATTCTGAAGGAGAGCTACACAACTGAGTATTTTGCTGCACTGTTCTTGGAATGTACACTGAGAAATCCCATTATTTCTGCCCAGCTGTTCCTAATGTACCATAGCCTACTGGACAATGTCTTAGTATATGACTCTTAACACATCTGAACATACTTAAGGAAGGTAAATAATCTTTTTTCCGGAATTAAATTCACACCTGCAACAAGAAAACCCAGAAAGATCTACAGGATTTGCTGCCTGAATAATCCTTAAAATGGAAAGTGTAGTGATTAGTGGTCCTATATCATGTATGACAACAAGCTATTAGAAGAACATGCAGCATTTCCTACAGATTCAGGGCAAGACTCTGAGCCAAAGCTAGAATAACTTTGATATTAGACCTATCTTTACCTCAGTCATAGACTTTGACTCTTTACTTTTTGCCAAATGCAATGGATATTTCTTTTTTTATTTTTTTCAATTAGGTTTCTCAGCATTAGTTACTCCTTGCCAGCACTTATTTCCCAGGTTTCAGAATAAACTGCAGATTCAATTATCTCCGATGAAGAGCTTCAATGCATTAATTTTTCATAACTTAATCATAAGCTCAAGAGCAATGGTGAGACAATTTGATTCACTGCTGGCAGCTGCCTGGCCTTTTCAAAGCAGATCCTAACGTGGAAGTGTCTCCTGCTAACATACACACTCACTCAGAGCTGTACTGGGAAAGAAAGCATATGAATAATTTATTGTCATAGCCTATTTTAGCCTCTGGCTAACAAGTCTGGTTTTCTTCCATGGATCTAGGGCATACGTGCTCCCTGCAGATAAGTGATGTAAGTTTGTTTGGAGCACACAAAGCAGACTGAAATGGCAAGAAGTCACAGCCACAGCCCTGTTTTATTCCTTAAGGTGTGTAAGACACTGCAGCTCCACTTTAATTGATGGAGCCTTGATCAGTGATGAGATAAATATCAATTTTCTTCCGCCTGATCAGACCACTGCTTAAAAAAATACATGTCTAACTTAACACTAGTAAAACCCCAGGAAACAGTCCTATTAAATTCAAGAGACTTAATCTGTGAATATGTTTTAGATAACTTGATATCCTTCATCAGTGAAATGATTCCCCACTTATCCTTTCTCATTTCTATTTTGCTTTTTTTCTGTAACATCTCCACTGACCACCTGACATCGCTAGCATTACATATCAAACGAGCTGCTAGAGATCAGTATGGAAAAAGTTACATTTATATTCACACAACTTCATGCCACTGGATATTATGCTGTTGTCTAGGATAAACAGTGAAAACCTTCATTCTTTGGCTTCTAGGTTCATGTAGTAATTCCAAAATCAAGTGTACTTCCCCTTATCCCCTCATACATCTCAAATTCATTTTCACATTCCCCCTGAAGATTTCAGTGGCAGTTTATTTGGTTAGATGTAATCTGCAACATTTGCAGTGACTGCATATGTGCCAGTGGCACTCACTTAAGACTAGGCACTTTAAAACATTAGGCACACATTTAGCAGAAGGAATCTGCATAACTATGTTGAAAACCTAGGAGGAGTCAACCTAGAGGACACATATCAGTATAGTAATTAGTACTAAACTAACGTGGATTTAAAGTCAGGACAAGGAACAGGTAAAGCAGTAGTACAGTTTTTCTTCCTTTTTCCTTTATTTTCTAACGCTTCCCTTTCTCTCCCATTCTTATTCAATCTTCTACTGATCAACAGTATTTGGAAAGTATTTCTGAAAGCAGTAATGTCTGAGGCAGCCAGTTCTGTATCAGTGGGTTTGCTACTGAGAAAGTACTTTATTCTAGCCTCAAGGATTCCATCCCCAAGGATGACAGACTTCAGCCTTCAAATAAACATGTTCATCTTGGCAGGGCACAATCAAGTGTCAGACAGACAGTCTGCTCTGCTTTGATTAGGCTAGGACCAAGGCTATGGATGCCACTTGACACAGTACACAGAGGGCTCTGTGTGATGTGCTTTCAAAGCCTTACATACTACTGAAGTCTTTTTGTTTAACCAAACTGCACTGGACAACACATACTTCACATTATTCTAAACACAGTGGAATCTACAAGCAGTAACACTTGTCTGTAGCTGGACCCTGCTCATCTCAAAAAAGGTACAGTCAGTCATCAAAAATTAACAATAATAGTAACTAAATCAGCCTCTTCACCTTTAAATCAAAGTGAGCAATTTTCTTAGAGTGAAGGTAATTCACACCATCCAAAATCTGCTTGATGAATCTGGTTGCTTCCTCCTCACTCAAAGATTCCTTCTGTGCCAGGAAGTCAAAAAGTTCTCCTCCAGACACCCTGCAAAACACACCAGGAAACTTCCCATTATCAACTGTGTTCTAGGACATAAAATAAGTGTAATCAGAGAAAACTGAAGTAGCAGAACTTCCATATAGAAAAGTCCACCTTTACAGACAATCTGCAGCTCTGTGCTCTGGCCTAAGGTGTGCCAAAACTGCCTTTAGCTCCCTCCCCTCCAAATGAAGGATTATCTTTCCCTAATGCATTGATGCTGCAAGGTTTGATTCATCAAGGGTTATGAAGGACCAAAAAGAGGTGTGCTGTCTGATAAACCTGCAGACATATTGCAATAGGTAGGCTTCCACGTTAACTATTCTAACTGCAGTTTTCCAACATTTTCGCTTTGGATAAGACACGGGAAACAGAAAAATTGCAGTAGCCAACAACTGCTGAATAGCTGCTTACCAGCTGCCATCAGTAACATGAAGCAATGAGATCTGCCAGCAAACTTCTGTCTTCTTTCCAGAACAGCCATTACAATGGCTGTAGAACCAATACAAATTCTTGCCTGACATACACTGACAGGAAAGCATTTATTTTGTGCTAATTAGTAAGCAGATTGCAGCAGCTTGGAAGGTACCCAAAATTGTTGTTTCCAACCAAGGGAGTGCTACAAGTTAATATGAGTTCTCAAAAATGAAATTCCATATGTATTTAGTACATACAACTATTTCTTTTGTCTCATATTGAGAGCCTCAGTGCTACTTTTTCCATACATCATGAAACAGGATTATCTGGATAATGAATTGTGCATTGTTTGCAGTTGTTATTCACATTTACACTTACATTTCTTGCCTTCGGTTCACACTCATTGATAATCTATCGTAATTCAATTTTTCTCTTGGCAGTCGTTTCTCAAAATGGTTGTTTCTCTTGGGCTGAGATGTACCACTTACCTGCACTCACCACTCCAAGTCAAGAGCAAGACTTGAACAATCCAAATTGTTCCAAATTAGGAAAATTTAGCCCTGATGTCTAATGAGATAGCAGTAAAAGAACTCGCAGGTTCCAGTGCTTTGAGTTAACTGAGTGCTGTGACTCACAGACAAGTTAGATCACACTGCCTGTGCTCTGCAGAGGTCTTTTATGCAATCAGTCATTCCTCTGACCCCAGGCTCCTTTCTAACACTGGTGGTGACAGACAATGATTCTCTACTCTGCCTCATTGCAAACAAACTACTGTGAATGGTCACAAAAATTGCAAGAAGTCAATAGCAAACCCCATGTCAATGCCAGTTTTTGGCTCAATTCTTAGCTTCCACTGGTGCTGTGGATGACAGCATACTACACCATTCTGTTTTGAAGGCACTGATTTACACAGTGCCTAATGACCTGCCTGCCAGTTATGGGACATTTTTCCACAGTTTCCACATTAGCAAGAAACCTTCTATGCAACATGAGGCAGGGCATTTCACCTACCCTTGATCTGTAATTGTTGCTACAAAGTGGGTGGCAAACAAAAATAAATGACTCAGGAATGTGGTACAATAGCTGCTCCAAAAGTAACGTCTCCTGCTTCATTATGTTGGCCCACAACATCAGAGGTGGATGTTGGTAGCATGGAAGTAGAATGTGAACCTTCCCCCAGATATTCCAACATTACTTCCAGAGTGGTTTACATACTTACTCTTACTAACTTTGTGTACAATTTATTCAAACCTCATGTTAATGAGAAATCATCACATCTCTTCTACTGAGTTTTCCTTTAGATTGGTCTCTTAAGATCTCTGCAGCTCAGGCTAATGTCTTAGACTTTACCACATGACACTGGAGATGTATGCTGAGCTCTGATCTTCAGAAAACAAAATGCTCATGTGTTTGTTTTAAGAAATAGCCCTTTGCTGGTAAAGTAGCAATGGGAATTCAGACTCTCTGAACCTTTTTTTTTAATTTTCCTTATTTGTTTTTCTGTTGTGTTTTGTACTTTGAAAGTTCCCTCTGCTAAATTTTCTGGCATTCCTTTGTACATATATTCTCTGACATCCTTAGTACAGTCCTCTGTGCCAAGGGAATGCAAAGGGAATGCCTTTCATAAAGTGCCTTGGGATCTGTGCTCTCCTTAAGCAGTATCTTCTTTTGCAAGTGCTGGTGGAGAGAAGGCTGAGCTGAAACATTGTTAGGCCCCTTCAGACAGAACTTATTATTAGTTCTCATTAAAAAGCCTGCCATGAGAAGCTTCTACAAAGCAAAAGGGAGAGAGAGTAGAGTGCCTTCATGGTTACATTCCAGAAGGGTAGCAGAAAGTATTCCAGTGCAGCTGGCTTCCTGCTGGCAGGGCCAGACTGCTGCAGGAGGTGACCGCTGGTGTGTAGTTTGAATAGAAATAATTAAGGAAACGAGAGTTGCCTGCTCTCTGTACACAGATTTCAGCAGAGACTAGCAGATCTCACTTACAGATTCCTTTAATAACTGGTCGCAGCTGCAGTCATTTTTTCAGCTAACTAACCCTACTACCACTTGGAATGCAGACAATGTTCTCTGGCTCCTGAAATGCACAGCGTAAAACAAAAGCATTAAAAAACTCATAACTGCACTGCAGGTTGCAACATCTGAACATCCAGACAAGTGTGCTTTCCAAATCAACACCACAAATGAAAGAGGGAGTGCTCCTTTCTTGGGGGACTTCATCTTACAAAAAATCCCTTCTTCCGGTCTCATCTCTTTCTCTCTTATCACGTCACCTTTATTTCTAAGGAAAAGCAAGAAGCAAGTGGATGACACTTTGCTCTTCCTGCGAAGTCCAATAAATGATAAAGCTGCCTTATTTCTTGGGAACGCTTCCTAGTAGACGAGTCTGATGTATGAATCAGAGCTGCCTTTAAGCCACTTTCGTTTTGGCAGAGCAGCTCAAGGCAGAAACCAGGAGACAGAGAACAGCAGCAAGGTCACCAAAAGGTGTGGGAAGCGTAACCCTGGGCAGCGTGCACACGGAAGGGCAAACTCAGGGCATGCCTAGGTGCACATTACAACAGTGAACTAGGCAGTGCTCCTTCTGCCCCTGAACAAACCAAACAGCATCTGAAGAATCTGTCCCCACATAAAGGGAAGGTACCACTGTCAGTGGCAGCACAGTCTGATTTGGAGAGTGTGTCAACACTTAAGCCAAAGACTGTTTTAAACATCCAGGCAGCTTCTTCAATTAATAAGAACACTGGGAATAATCTTTTGAAGCTAAAGTCCACTGCAGCTTGTCATTAGATTAATTGGCCATGTGCTGAAAATGCTTATCTGAATAAACTGCAGTGAGTATGAGACTGATAACAGTATGTCAGGAGTAGAAATCATCTGCTTACCGAGAGAATCTATGTAGCTTTATTAGCAACTATCATCATCCTCAATTTGTGTGCAGCAGCAGAATGCAGTGGCCTTAATAAGTTCAAAGTACTGTTACACTCAGCCCTCTAAAAATGAAATGATGTGGATGTGGCTCTGGGCAGCCTGGTCTGGTGGTTGGGAACCCTGCACATAGCAGGGGGGTTGAAACTAGATGATTATTGTGGTCCTTTTCAACCCAGGCCATTCCATGATTCTATGATTCTCTGAAATAAGCTACTGCCTGACAAAAATACATACAAAATGTGCCAGGCCATGTGAGGACAGGAAGTAGAAGTTAATGAAATGGGAGGTTGCTTAGTAGCTGACAGTCAAAAAGAGCAAGCTTCTTTCCTGTCTTCTAAAGCAGAGACTTCTAGTTACAGAGATTAACATTTGATCATACACACATACTTAACAGATGCTCACCACCACTCACATGCCATCTGCCAGCAGTCCCATCAATTCCAGGCACATTCCCTGGCCTGAATGCTGGCTCTCTTGGAAGACTAGTGGTTATTCATACAGCCTCGTTGCCTGGATTCCATGCACAAGGCCAGGGCAGGTGCTCTGGGGAACAATCTGCATAATGTCAGTTATGGCGTTCCTATAATTCCTGCTTCATACACAAATTGCATAATTTACTAAGTACCTAAAAACTGCTGTAAGTAGAAGACCTCTGGATGCCTCCTTGTTTACTACAGCTTTAGTTCAGTGCCATGAATTTACAGACAAGGGGTATGTCACCTTCTGCACAGCTCCTCTAAAACTCAGGGATCTGTAAACTAGGTGATACCAACTCCACAAAAGAACAAAATATAGACCAAAAATGCTTTAACTGCTGTTTTCCTTTTTTCACTACATGGCAAATATTCATCCTGCTGGCCAAAATCATACTCCCTAAGCAGCAAAGCTCTGTTTGTTACAATAGCCACTTCCATTGCTGGCTCTGATGAATATGTGCATACAGTTCTGGTCTCTGGTTTGTGTGACAGTGTTCAGTTTTCTCCTGACAACTTTGTGTGTCTGGCTGTTCTAGCTCTGCAAAAGAAACTCTTCATTCTTTGGCAACTACTTCCTTTTCAGAAAAGCTTTACTTCAGCTTCACCAATATAAGTTGAGGTCACACAGAGAAAGTGATCACATAAACTCTACCCCATCCCCTTAAGATTAACATCCCTGCATGTAATCCCCAGCACTGCTAAAAATTATATGACTGCTTTTCAAAATATGGCCAGGCCTGTCTGCCCAAGCCAGGGACTTTGAATCTCAAATCAAGCAGCAGAAACAGGCAGGACATACGTAAAACAAGTTAGATTATAAAACATTACAGTATTAGTCTGTGTTCTGCACCTGTCTAAAATGTTTCATCTCAGTTTGCCATCACTGAACACATGGGAAGGACAGCAGAGTGTAAGAAAGAGCTAATGTCTTTGGGATGTAGTATTTCTAGGCTGATAAAACAAACAGCGAAAAGAATTCACATAGGGAATTCCACAGCTATTGTGGAGAGACCAACAATTTTGATACTACTTCATATTCTAATCATCTGGCATTTCTCTGCACTGTGAACATGTACTAACCAGGTTTTCTCACTTCCTTACAGCCAGTGAGAGTATGTATAGACAAAAGGACCAAAGGTGACTCCTTGAAATGCAAACCTCACATCACATTCCAGCCAAGCAAAGGCTCCTTCACCATGTCCATGTTAAAATGATGCCTGACCACATCTCCAGCTTCCCTGGGATGGGCATCTATTCCTACACGCAGGGACGTGCACAGGTTCTACAGAAAAAGCCACTCTTCTCTCAGCCCAGACAGAGAAGCTGCTGTTAGCTGCTTCTGAATCTCTTCTTAAAACAGCACAAAGCTGACTATGTTTCACACCCAAATATGCATAATAATCATCCCAAACCAGCAGCCTGGCCACCCAGTCGGTCACAAAGCAAGAGTGAGGCCATAATGGCCCACAAAAGTCCAGGTTAGGAGGTACACTTGTCAGCAGGTCCTAAATGGCAAGAGTTTTCCCCCATCAGATTGCAAGACAAGAGGGGCAACCAGTTCTTCATTCCCACCCTGCTGCTATTCACTCTTAATAAGCAAAGTTTGGGGATCCCAAAAATTCTTCCCTACTTCCTCCTCCCTCCCTCCCTTTTTTCTCCTTGTCTCTTCCAAGTTTCCAAGTGAGGAAAATATGGGTTTAGTAGAACAGCTGAAAATACTGCAAGATTTTCGTGCACTGAAAGGGAAGACTGCAGGAAGTGCAAAAAAAAAAAAAAAAAAAAAAAAAAAGGGGAGTTCAGTGGCCATCTGTGATTCCTTAAAGGCTCAAGGCTCATGTCAGGGCAGAATCACAGCCTCAGACACTCTGTTGGCAAACTTTTTCTTTTTTTTTCTTTTTTTTTCTTTTTTTTTTTTTTTTTTTTTTTTAAGGCTGACAACAGAACCTGCTCAATAACAATGGCCTCAGGTGATTTAAGGTGCATCTATGACCCCAGGACACATGAATTGACCATGGGGCTGTTCATGAGCATCCTCATCCAGTTCTCCCGACAAGACCTGCGAGGCCTGAAAAGACAACAGCTCCATTTTAACAGCACCCCTGTGCTCTGACAGCCTCATCCAGCCCCAGAGGAAAGCAAGTCCCTTACTCACAGCTCAAGGATGAGAACCACATCCGTCTTGTTCTCATAGATGTCGTGAAGCTTGATGATGTTGGCATGTAGGGTCTGCTGCAGAATGTCCACCTCCCGTTCTATTTCCTCACGCCTCACCCCACGACGGCTGGCCCGACTCTGACGCTTTTTAATGAACTTAGCAGCATACTCCAAACCGGTGCTTATTTCTCTACATTTCTTCACAATAGCAAATTGGCCACTGCAAGAACAAGAAGATAATAGTCTCTTAAAGCTTTCATACAAACCACTGGTAATATGCAATAGCTTCCTAAATATGCAAAGCTTGATCCTACAGCCCTTCTGAGATACACTGCTGAAGTTACACAAACTTGTTCGTGTTTCAATGATTAAGTTATGGCTCATGCTCAAATTATCCTTTGCTGGATAATGCTCAAGGCATTCTAGTCTGCAACACAACGCTGGGTGTTCTGAAAAGACATGAGTGCAAGTATTTCCCTCAAGAATAATCTCTCTGAAAAGAACGTAAGGGATTGATGAGCCTTTGAAAATGCAGAATTGGGCCCAAGTAATCAGTTTTCAAAGAAAAGAATGGTTTATTCATGTTACTGTACTTCACTTGATAATTTGGCTTTAAGAACAAGTACAGGTATCTCACTGCACTTCAAGGACAGAGAATTTCCCATCATATTAAACAGAAAGCAGTTGTGTTAAAGATAAAAACAAAAACATGTAGCTGCCATTTGTTAATAACATTTTCCTGATTTTGCCTCCTACAGTACAATATTTCACTTCAACTGTAATATTTCCCCTCTGTGTCCTGAAAGGGAAACACCTGGAGGTCAGATGACAAACTCAAACAATAGTAACCCTGCAGGTTGCAGCCTTATGTCAGTGATGTGAACTTCTCAAGAGGAGGCAATTGTTACCTTTTGTTGTTGTTCAGTAGTAAATAAGGGACTCCACTTTGCTCTCATTTCCATGAACTACTCTCCCTTCATCGTGACCTTGTGTGCACTGATAGAACTCAGAGAAGCAAAGCTTCCACAAAGCTGATGTCCCCTCCTTCTCATTTGTCCTTCTGAAAGTAATTGTAATCAAGCCAAGACATGTCTTCCCAAAATTAAGAAAGACAGGTGGTTTATAGCTGAAGATTAAAATGATATCAGTTCTGTGTGAGACAAGACTTTGGCAGGAAACAGTAAAAGTAATGGAGGAATTTTGCAGATCTGATTTCTGCCATGATTGTATTGGGTATATTCCTTAGCAAGCCATTTCCATCCCATCAACAAAAGAGGAAATGGCTTTCTTTTGTAACACACTACATGCCTATGGGTTCTTGTACACCACTTAAAGCATAAAGGTGTCTGTCTTATTTTGCTGCTATAATAACAGACATATATATAGGACAGCTTGTACTGTACCACTCAGTGTAACAGGCTCTTGTCCCAGCTGATTCTGGAAAGCAGACAAAAATCCCATTTAAAACAGTAATGTGTTTCTTCTTGTGATGGTTCATTTGTAGACTTAAATTAAACGTATCTGTACCTTTTATGCTTCATTTAAATTTATGAGACTGAAATTATGCAAAGAGCAGTGCATGTAAAGATTCAAATATCTACTGACTCCTTAGGCTCTTAATGAAGATATTAAAATACTCATAAGTCTGAAACTATGTGAAACTTCTACAGCTTAAGGTTTCATCACGATCTTTAAATATCAAGTAGTCCTTATTAAAATCAAGATAAATATTTTTCACATAATTCAGGCTAAATTGCCTCATCTGGACACAAACTCTCCAATTCTTAAGTTTTTCTTAGATCTTAAAAAAAGTAAATTCAAAAACTGACATATTTTAAGAAAAAAAAAAAAACAACCAAACCAACCAACCAACCCAGCTTCCAGATCAAGTAACAAAAAGAAATAAGAATATCTGACTTCAAGATCAGCTTCAGTCAGCTGAAACAAACAAAGTCAGCTCCTCCACTGGGGATGGGTTTCATTCACTTACTGCTCTCTTTGCTCAATAGGAAGCCCAGCATTTTCACTGATACAGTGGATTCAATTAACTAAAGAAACTACACTCATTTTTAAGCAACTGTGACAAGTTTCTATTGAGCCTTCTTGGATCTAACGGTACTCCAGGATTATTCATTACTCTGCCTTTTCACAACCACCAACTCAGGAGCACAGACCTGGGCATAATGTTGTATAAAGTAAATAAAAAAAACAGGTGGTTCAATTGGAGCAGCTGGAAAACAAGGAGCTGGTGGGGAGGTGTTATAATGGTGAGCTGTCAAGGAAAATTACTCTAATAGTAGTGTTTGTTGACTGCATTTGATAAGTCTGATGGCAAGCTGCTGCTGACAGGACAAGTCTTGTAGCAGCATCTCTTCAATACTACCTACAAGAGTCTGAATGGAAGGAAAAGTTGTCCACCTCTTCCATTTGGATACCAGTTAAATAACCTCACAGCCCATCTGCATACATTTGTGATTTCAAGCAGCCAGAAGAATTTACAACTAACCTGGGGAATTGCAGAAAACCTAAGCTAAAGGTTAGTTCTTGTTATTTATTTTTCCATTACTGAAACTTCCTTTTGACATTGGAAAGAAAAGGAAAAGACCACCGTATCCACCTTGCACGGGGCCATGGCTGTACTGTTAGAAACTTTACTGTGGTGGTAACACACCAAGTATCTTGCAGACTGAGCATATGCTTTGTTTAACTGTAAAATACATCATGTGATAACAGAGGTGAAAAATGAGCAAGCTGTGACGACAGAACAGGACTTTGGTTATATCAGCTTTTGATAAAACTGCTGCTTCATGGAAGCTGTATTTTATTTTGGCAACAGGAAGGGGGCAGGAAGAAGAGCCAGCTGGCCAATACCTGCAGAATCAAATCACTTGAAGGTAAGGAACCCCAGCTAAAAACCTTTGCCATGTTCACAATAACTAGAGCAAAAACTAAGGAAATGTCAAGTCTGCTACGTACACCTCATACTCTACCAAAAATTCCTTAGTCAGAAAAGGCTTGGGCTTTATCAATTAACGTTTGATAGATTCAGACTTTTGCTAAAAAACATGCAAAATACATCTCCATTTTTCCACTATGGCATAGAAATGTATATCCAAGTTTTAGGAGGAAATAGAACACTTATGTTGCTATAGGAAGCCATGGTCTCTTACTGAGGAAGCCAAATAGCTACCCTTGCCTGAAACATATAAAGCATAATAGGTATGCAAGGTCCTACCACCAAAAGAGCCATCTGAGCTCAACCCTCATCTGCTCAGATTTACAAGAAGTCTCTGCTGATGATCAACCACTTTTCAAGCAGAAAAATAAGGCAGTGAGCTCCTCATCATACCCATCTGCAGCTCCTTTCTCTCCTGCCACAATACACTGTACCTGTCTCTGATAAGGCAATAATTGGTAGGTCTCCAGTGCCCGAATATAAGCACAGCACCATTTCTTTAGTCAGGGCATTATATCCAGGCCTGCAAGGAAAAGCTTTATCTTACAGATAATCTTCACCTTTTGCTACAGTAATTTTTATCAGCCAAGATTTTTTTGTAACAATCAAATACACTCCCTAAGTGCAACCTCCCACAGCTACATTGTAGAAGTACTGAGCTCTTATTGGTTTCAGTATGATTATATCCTTCACTACCTTGGCAAACAAGAGATTGCGAGTACAGTTGGAACTCAAATTATGCAGCACACACAGCAATTATACTCAGAAACCTTATAATTACACAATGCACTTAGTACTTCATTAACACAGACAGCTGGTTGGAGTCTGTCTTCAACCCACAGAATAAAAAAAATTAAAAATTAAAGCTGTCACTTGGCCCTCACTTGTTCTCACAAGCCAGCACACCATGGCAGAAGCATCCTCCTCTTTCCGAGAGTTCAAGCAGTGACAGACAGCCTGAAGTACTTCTTTCTGGTTTTCATTTTCAGACATATCCTAAACACTTCTCAGGAGAGAGGTGGAAACATATGGGACAAGTGTACTTATCCCCTTAGGATTCAAACACAAGTGGAATCAACACTGCTACCATTTGTCAAATTCATTAATTAATATTTATGTTTCCTGATTTTGCTATTAGATGTAAACTCTAGAGAGCTTATGAGAATGAAATTCCTGCTACAAAATAAATCAGCCTTAAAACATTACCGTAAAAGGAATTCAATCTGTAGCTCTGAAAGCTATTTATGTAAAACATCATGAATTTCATGTTGGTTGCTGTTTGTTTTACAAGACACACACCCCAACTGGTCCAGGCCTTCTGAAGAGACACAGTACAGGTGCTGCTGTACTGACTTCCTTGACCAACTCTGCCTGCAGCTCATGGAAAAATATTACTTTATGACTGCTGATTATGGGAGTATATAGAGCTGCTTTTGCATTTAAAAAGCCCAGTGATACTGTAGGTTTCATACATTTATGTTTACCTAAAAGCTTACAAACGTAGTAGTGACACAGGACAGGAATTCTCATTTTCACCTTCAACATACATAACCTGGAGCAGCTGTTCATCACACCACTGCTTCCTTTGTAATCTGCAATTCCCTCTTGGTGCCATAAGCACGCATTCTGTCTCCTCCTGCCCCAATCTTTGTGTCATTGCCTCTATTTCTGAACAACAGGCTTTTTACTGCACCATTCTGTGACCACGTAGATGTTATAAACCACAAGGAAAAAGAAAGATAAATGGACGATTCTTGAGACTAGGATATCTAAGGCTGTTACCATGCAATTAAGCACCAAACATACCCTACTCTATTTATTGCACAGCCGTTTGCTCCATCCATGCTCACATCTGAATTCCCAGGGTCTTTATTAAAGCATCACAGGGGAATGCTATTTCCAGACCACCACAAAGCAGCAGCTGCTTTATCCTTCCACATAAGTAGCCCAGTGCTTTGCCAGGCAATGATACATTATGGTATACTAAGAGCTGAAGGCTGGAGAAGGGACAAAGAAGGAGAAAAAGGTTTTAAATGTTATAGGGGCAGCACATTGCTCTACTTCTCTGTCAGACATACTACAATGAATAGCTCATGAGGAGCCCCAGATAGCTATGATGTCTCACCTGTACTTAACAATCAGTCAGACACACTCTAGATTGCTCAAGAAAAGATCTCCTAGAGGCAAGGACCAAGCATTTCTCTGCCATCTACTGCATTTGCATCCAGTGGTAAGAATCAGTGTTGACTTCCCAAAACTTGCAA